ATGTTTTTCTCAAATTTTAATAATAACTAACACTGTCTAAATAAAGTGAGATAAAATATAATACTGAACTATATTATATTGTAAGTACATATGTTTATGGTCTCATAAATACAATGAACGAATGTATAAGAGTAGAAAAAATGTTGGAAACATGAAAATTCATAGATGTTTTTCTCAAATTTTCAATAATAACTAACAATGTCTAAATATAAAGTGATATAATAAGATATAATAATATTGAACTATGTTATAGTGTAATAGGTACATATAAAAGTTTCTGGTCTTAAATGTACAATGAACGAATGTATACGAGTAGGAAAAAAAATGTTGGAAACATGCAAATTCATAAGGTTTCTTAAAATTTTTAATAATAATCAACAATGTCTAATATAATATAAAATGAGATAAGATATAATGATACTGAACTACATTATATTGTAAGTACTTACATATAAAAGTTTATGATAGCTACCAATACACTGAACGGATATATAAGAGTAGAAAAAATGTTGTAAACATGGAAATTCATGTACGTTTCTCTCAAATTTTCAAAAATAACTAACAATTTCTAATATATTACGAATGATGACTCAAAGTGTACGATACGATAGTTACAGTCGCTTTACACCAGAAAGCAGCACTTAACGAGGCGTTTTAGCCACTAATTTCGGCGAATTTTAAAAAATCATTTACAAGAGATTAAGAGCTTAAATTTGGGGATTATATTAAGAATACTGCTGTTGAGGAATGCATTTATTTTCATTATGATATTTCAAAATTTAAAGCCCTTTGATGTTTTTTCTTGGAAACTAAAAATAATTAAATTTTAAAATATAAGCATATTCTAGATATTATTGCCTAATTTATTATGCCAAAACTTTAACTTTTAAAAAAAATTACTTTTTGAGATAGGCTTGTCCGAAAATTATAAGGGGGTACTGTACTCACCTTAAATAATTAATAATGGCATCAATAATATTTGAAGCCTTTAAAATATAAAAATTAACGTCCACAGAATTTTTTAAGCTATAAGAATATCTTGATAATAAATTCTGGAGTTGCGACCACCTACCTAATTTGCATTCATGTGGTAAAATCCATTTTAAATCTCGTGGTGATAGTTGCACATCATTAGTAAACACTGACACAGTTAAATCCATACCAACACTTATGCTAGAAATAATTTTAGGACACTCATCGGAACAATCTGGAGTACTAATATTAAGCATGTAAAAGTAAATCCTTTCTGGTAAAATTTTTACATTCCAATTATTTAAAATAACTTTCACATTCACTTGTCCACATAATTCACTAAATTTTTTTATTAGAGCAGTATCTAAAAATTCTGCAACTTCATTTTCTTGTCTTTCAAATATTTCAGCTCTTCTTTGTTCAGGATTTCTTCTTTCTGCATTTTTTGGATTTGAAAAATACTGAGGATGGTTTTCAAAAATTCTTGGAATTGCACCTTCTTTCAATTTAGGATACTTCAGTTTAATTTCATGTTTAATTCCATTTTTATCAATGTAGAATTCATTTACTATAATATCAGTTTGATCAAAATGTTTTTTACACACTACTGAATTTGAGTTAACAACATAGTCTTTACGATGTATAGCACTAATCCATTGTTTTCTAATTTCTTCCTTTTTAGGAAATGAAAATGTACTTTGTGTTACTTCCTTTTTTAAAGTACTGGCGTAATTTGAATTGCACTTTGGTACGCAGCAGTGTCTTGGCATCTAAAATTAAAATATTGAGGTTAGAAATGTCGATAACATATTATCTTGAATATTTTTTAAAAATGAGGTACATGGTACATTAGTACTAATAGAAACTTACCTTTTCAGAATAAACTTATAAATAATTTACTTATAATACTTTCAATAGTAGCTATTTAATATTATTTAAATGAAATTAACTAACATACTGATCGACAGTTTTCACTTCACACTTTTGTCGAATCATATGCAATCGTATCTATCCCTATTTCGGTGATTTCGGATATCGGGGGCGTTTTTGTGTCGTGTGGTCCCATAGGACTACCCGCGGTGATGCCAGATTTCACGCTTCACGGCTTGTAATTTTAGGAGGCTATGGTTTCGCCCAGGAATATTATGGTCGAATTTTTTTTTTTTACTCTTTGTCAGCCGAAACTATGAGTCGTTACTTACAATTTGACTGAAAACCTTTCATGTTACCATTTTCAATATAAATTATCCAAAGATGTCTGCATCTATCAAAATTCAATATTGTGGCGATATTTCGTAGATATAAACTGTTTAAATCATATAATTTAAAAATAAATTAATTTGAAATTCTTTTGTGTAAGGTATGTTTAATATAGTTGGCAACACTACAGGGACAAGTTATGCATACTGCGCATGCTTCTAGACACACTATTTTGCGTTGTCAGGCGCAGAGACGCGTTTTTATGCACCGTAGGTGCATTTCTGCTTAAATGTTATATTTATATTGGTCTTCTATATTATTTCTACGTCTGCAACACAGAAAAAGGTCAAATAAAAATATTTAATTGAAAAATATATCTATCTCTAGGCAAATAATCGTCTTCTTTAAAATGCCGTTCATGGGGACAAACTTTCAAATATTTTGATACTGACTTCTCAATTTTCAACTTTTGTAACCATGCATTTCTTTCACAATTTCTACTCGCATTTTATAAAAATTACCCTATATTTATCAACTTTAGGAAGCAGATGAAATGTAAGAGAAGTGTTCGTTTTTTTTTTGATCTGCTTTGATATTCCACTTATATTCTAACTAATATAATGTTTTAATATGTATGGTAAAAATTTTAAGCATTAGCTTATTATTAAATATCATATTTCAAACAAAAATCTTGTTAAATTTTAAAATAACATTTATTAACATGACCTGATAAACAATGAACAAAACTTGACAAAACACAGACCGTCAAATGTCAAATGGCCACAATATTCAGTTTATTAGTTCACAGTAGAGGGCGTATCGCTTATCTTCAGATCCCAATACAGTTGTATGCATTGTTTTTAAGTTTTGCGTGATTTATAATGGTATACTCACTATATATTTATGATTTAAAATAATTTTTAAAAATATTCTACATTTGAATACAGTATTACCAGGACACTAAATAAAAAACAAAATACAGGATGATCAATTTAAAAATTATTTTTTTTTATTTTCCAAAACTATTTTTAAAGTATGACTTTCTTAAATCCATATTATTTTTGTTAGAACTTGTTTATGTCTATGACAGAAACTTAAATAATATTCAGTAATAATACACTAATTGGTTATTAGTTTAGGGTGTTGTTTAGTTTTAATAAGATAATAATTCACCGAAATTAATTCTTACTTCTTATACTTTGTTTCATTCTTTAAGAAACATTAAGTATCTGTCAAAGATTGTCTGCTAGCAACAGCCTTTAATAAACCCATGAGCTAATGCATAACTAATCTATGTGTACTTAATTGTTCTGTGAAATGGGCAAGGACGTTAGAAATGCAGCTTACTATCATATTCCAGTCAATGAACTTTTTTTTCACATTACCGATTACTACCGTAACAGTTCGATGGCATTTAAACAATACTGTCTACTTTTTTTATTTATATTTAAATTACAAAACATTCCAACTATTAGGTAAAAGTAATTCCACACGTTCCAATCATTTAACACTCACCGAGTCAGAAAAACTGATTGCAAACCAAGAAAAGAAAAGACTGTAGACATTTCACAAGAAATAGCAATATATGATAGAAGTGAATTCGTCTTAAATTAAAAATTAAAAACGAAATTTTAGAGATTTTTTACTTTTAATTAATAAAAGATAATTAAATATAATTACCTATAAATGTCGATATAAAACTAAATGTGTATTTTTTGTTCCTATTCGTGATTCCAAAAAGTAGAGCAATATTGCAAACATAACATTTTTTATTTCAAGTTTTTTGTTTTTACAAAATATGCGTAAAATAATTACTTTTAAAAAAGCCCTCATAAATTTGAGCTCAATTTGAAATTTCGTTTCTAAATAAATAAATAAAAAACAAAGCCGTAACGAATGACGAATACATTTCAAATTAAAACTATGAATTTAAATTGCTGTAACGACATGATACAAAAATAAAAGTGATTACCATTTTGTAGATTTGTACAATTTTAATAAATAATGCTTTAGTATTGCAGTAACATACCTAGATGTATTATTACTGCCCATAAACTAGAATTTTAATATTTGATTATTTAAAATTGTGCTTTGTTTTACTCTGATTGATTTGCTTATTTTTTGATTACCTAATAATAAAGATCAGAAAAGAAAAAATATAAAAAATAGTTTCTGCGTTTTACAAAAAACATGATTTTTCTGTAATGTGATGAATATTTTTTTTATTTCATTAAATAATATTCAAAAGTCAACATCTGAACTGTGTAGAATTCACAGAAAAATATTGAAGGCAAGGAAATAAGACAACAGATGCCACTACTGCAACAAAAGAAAACAAAATTAGAAAAACGGCACAAAATAGGAATGGGTCCAAAGTTCAAAGGTAATAGAAGCAGAGACAGGAATGATGAGAAATAAAGGACGATAGAGAAGAGCTTGGATGGATAGAATGAAGGAACTGGGAGCAAATATATGAAGGATTGGAAGAGGTGAGTTACAAAAACAGGATTACCACGAAGAAACCAAATAATGTCATAAGGGTATAGAGGAATAATAGAGAAAATCTTGGACAGTCAGGTTGAAAGGTAATGGAAGCAAAAAGGTAAAGAGTTGGAAAAAGTAAGTAACCAATACAGGAATAACGTGAAGGAACCAAATGCCATAAGGGTGTAGAATAAAGAATGAACAAAGAGCAACAATTTCAATTTTTTTATTTACATTCCATAACAATGCATAACAATCACAATAACAACATATATTTTCGATTTAGTACAGTTTTGTAGAGATCAGTCCAACAAAAACACAAAATCAAATATAAATAAAGGGGTCTAGTGTTTGCCCCCTCCGCCTCCTCCTCCATGTTTCTTGCCACCGCCTCCACCTCCACCTCCGCCTCCACCGCTGGCGAAGCCGTACTCTTTGCCGCCTTTGTGGCCGCCTTTCTTTCCATAGTCGGAGTGATGTGAGTGATGACTTTCGTGTCCACCATGTCCTGAAGCAAAATATACAAATTTTTATATGGATAATTAAATATAAAAAGCACAAAGAGGTTGCACTTGAATGACCAAGATCAAAACCGACAACTGACATTTCTTGTGTTACTAACTCCAACCACTAGATGGCGTTACTGTGAAACTTAACCTACAATTTGATGCACATAAATTTTGGTTGTTTTCTAGAATATACATAAGATCGCTCAGATTTTTCCGATTCTAATTTTGTTAGTTATTTATAAAATTGAATATTTCATTTCCTACTGTTAATTTTGCAATGATTTGATTCTACGTTGTAAACTTTAAGAATAACTTTTCAATTATTATTCATCTGTATTTTGAAGTAAACTATCAGTGAATAATAAAAGATCTCAGATTAATGCAATGCCAGACATCATAACCTTGCATCATAAGTGACAAAATTCAAAAATTGACATATTTTTAATTAATAACATGAATGTGATGAATAAACAACTCTACATCAATCATCAAATTTGTTTTGACTTAGAGAAAAAACTTGTCTATGAGAAACCTGTATAATTTTTGAGGTTTTGATCCGTGATTTTGATGTATGGTTGCATTCATGTTATTAACTCAAAAGATGAAATTTAAGTTGTGTCACTTTTGTGTCTTGAAGAAAAATTGAGCAACCACTTGTGTACAATTTGCGTACTATTTGTGTACTATTTGCGTACTATTTGCGTACTCTTTGCGTACTTTAGTAGTAATTCTAAGACAGTCTCACTGACCTAATTGACAACTCATTCTTAAATTGTCACAAAAGTCGCTAAAAACGGCCATTTTTATTTAATATCTCATTTTATCAAACCATATTGAATACAGGCATTGTTTAAAATGCAATACTCTTGTTTGCTAATTATTAATTTTTCAGTTCAGTAAAGGTTCTAACATAGGTATTTTTGGTTTTATTACCAATAGTATGTCCTATAACTGATAAATAACTTTCGATGTTGTTTTAAAGGTATAATCAATGTACCAATAGTCAGATTTTGATAAATATCATCACTGGACAAAATGATGAATCTATCTTTTTATTTTCAAATTTTAAACAATCTTCTCCTCATTTTTGCCAGGAAGAAATAAATCTACACTTTCTGGCTTTTTTGGAAAAGAAAGTCATTTTCGTCATATCCTACGAATTGTTCTTTTGATGATAGATATAGTCGCCAAATGATAATATGTCATATGGGTTAAACTCGCAGTTGACATATTAATAATTATTGTCTGAAGATTATCGGAAATACTTCTTGCTTTTTGTTTAATATCAGATAAAATATTCATCACCTCCACTTCTGCTGGCCGTCATGTATGATTATGTTCTCTTTTTTTTCTACTGCATTTTCTTCTCCAGTCATTATACGTCTTTTATAAGATTAACGCCATTTTTAACATATCCAGTATGTAGTTTATCATTTTCTACCAAGTATAGAAATGCTAATCCAAATATTGAATATTTTCTTTTGATAATATTGTTAATTTTGTCACAAAGACTGTCAATTAGTTACACCTATAGTATTTATCGTATCCATTTAATCGTAGATTTCAGTTAGAATTTCATTTACCGCTCATTTGCTGCAAGAACGTCATAACTCAAAATTTATCATTATCAAGTTATTGGAGTAATTCGTTAAGAAAAACTTTTCTATTATCTGGTATAGTGTCAGGTCTAAAGTTTCTATAATTACCATTAGATGCCAGCTAAGTCGGTACCAAAGGTTTTATTCTAATCTTATAGCTATAATTTTAATATCATCATTTTTCAGTTGCTGAGTGGACTGTTGTGGAAACGTTTCTCAGATAATTAAGACTGTATTCTATTTCATATTGTGACGCGTATGGTCACATTATTAAATTTTTTTACTCTTTTTAAAAAACAACTTTTTTGTGATATGACGTTTTGTAGTAAATAAGCATTATATTTGAAATGTCTTGTACTCGAAATCCATTGGTGACACAATAAGAAAAAAATTGTATGTTCTACGGACGTTTTGAATAACAAAAATCACAGAGTCCTCTTTCGAGATCGTTATTTGATAAAAACAAAAAAAACGTACCTTTATGCCCCTTGTGATCTTCATCGTAATGTCCCTTTTCGGTATGACCCTTTTTGCCGTGATGGTCGTCATGGTAACCGCTCTTGTGACCGCCTCCCTTCTTGTGGTGACCGGACTTGCCTCCGTGATGACCGTGGAAGTCGCCGTGCTTCTCGTGGTGACCACCCTTGTGGTAATCATCGTAGAATTTGTGCTCCTTATGATAATCGTCTTTGTGCGATTTATGATGGAAACCGGTGGTTTTTTGACCTTTCTTATGGCCTTTCTTCTCTCCGAATTTGCCGCCTTTGTGACTCTTGCCGTCGGCGTGGTGCTCGCTGTGGTGACCGCCTTCGTCGTGGTGTTTCTTGTGGTGACCTATAAATTATTTCAGAACAGTGTTATTAATGAATTTAAAAGCTTACATTTGCTGTCATTTACCTCCTTTTTCTTCATGATGACCAGCAGAATGGTGTTTCCCGTGTTTGCCATGCTCGCCTTTGTCATGATGATGATCACTTTTGTACCCCTTGTCCCCCTTATCACCGTGACTTTCGTGATGATGCGCGTGGTGTTCGTGGCCGCCGCCTTCTTCATGATGATGGCCGTGCTTGGATTCCGAAACTTCTAGGTCTGCTACGACTATACTTTTGTCATCTTCCGTGATTATCCTACAGGAACCTAATGAAGAGAAAACAAGTAGTATATGATCTTATATAAAGTGATCCAAAAATATTCCTAATGGAAAAATCAGTTGTTAATGTTCACAAAATATTCCTAGAGAAACAAAATATTTGAATTCATCTAATCTATTCCTGTAAAAAATGTTATAAAATTCCATTAAAAACTATCTAGTGCAGAGTGGTAGTTGTCTTTTTGTTTTTTTTTTTTTTTTCTAATCTTTTTGTGACCACAAGCGCCTGCTCCTAGGCAATTGATAAGGTCCTGGCAATAGCATAAATAGCATAGGACATATTTTGTCCTCCTCTTTACCTATTCTACATAAGGAATCATTAGATTTCTTTAAGAGATTTACGAGTCCCTTAAGGCTGCAGTCTCTCATAAAGAGTCCTCTTACGGTCTTAAGTTCGTTCCAGATAAGTTTTCAGTAGTTGATATTGTCTACTTTTGAAATAAATCACTATGAATATTCTGGACTGCCTGAGTCCAGGAAGTTCTAACTAGAGCTTAGGATGTTCTCTATTTATTTTTTCCATTAGCACCTCTTTAAAATGTTTATATACCATATTATGTGGATTCTGGTCCTACTAGATTTATCTTAGAGCTCCATTCATGACCAGGAAGCCTGCGTTTTACGTTTCTAACACTCCATGTCTCAGTATCTTGTTCTGCCAGGGAATGTTGGTAGTCAAATATTAATTTGAATTATACTCTAACTTCATGTTCTTTAAGGGCTGCTGCCAGGCTGTCACAGTAAAGATCTTCTTACCTCTAAGAGGGTCATTTAGCATTATCTGGATACTTAAGCCTAGAATACTGTTGCCAATGACCCCAGGTTGAAACAGACGGTCTTACTTTTGATCACTAATGAATTGAACTACATAGAACTTTGTGAAAAGGTCAATATTATTACTAATACATGTTCTATAAATAATAAAGTAATTATATAAGTAGTCTAACGCTTTTCCGGACACGGTACGTTACCATTTTGAATTTTAGTGATCTTGTATTATATTTTTTTCAATTTTCTCCTAACAAATTTGATATTAAAGCACTCACTAATCACTATCCAATTATGTATAACACTTCATTAGTTCAAAACTTTTTTACACAACTACATAATAACAAGTATTTACCAACTAAATTATGTTAATTGTACTAACCTAAGGTTACAGCAAGGCAAAGCCCTGCACACAGTACTATAAGGCGCATGGTTACCAACTGATGATAATGACATATTTCATCGAATTTATATTCTCTTTTGTTTCCTTATGATTATATCATTTGGTTTTCTGGTACAATGGTTTCGGATGGTTTTTCATCAAATTCTCGACGAGTTTTTTTGGTCGACCATTTTAAGTTTCATTTTTATGTAATGAGGCTTTCTCTATGAACAAGTGTTTAAGGTTGATTAGGTCGAGCTGTATCTTAGAAATTGATACGTATAATAGATACAGGGTCATCAGAGAATTACTAAACATATTAAACGATTATTAAAAATTATAGCAATGGTTTTTTTAGTTTCTTGTCTATATACAGATAAGGAAAGTATAGGAATTATGATTATTTTCGACGGATTTTTATGTTTTATGGTATCCTGAATCCATTTTAACTATTTTCGCGATGTGTCTGTATACTTGATAACTCTTAAACTACTTAAACTTAAATCCGATTTACGGTGAGCTGACTAGATTTTGGCATAGTCGGAAAATCTGGGGGATACTTTATAGGAGGTCGTTTTTCTAGTTTAAAAAATATATTGGTCCGTAACAAAAAGTGCAAAATTGAAATGTTTAAGCAAATTGTTTAAATAAAAGTTGTCATTGTCATTCTCTATAATTTTTGTCTCAAACATGATTTCCCTATAATGGACCGTATTCGAGATATTCGAGGAAATTTTGAAGATAACTCAACAACGGATAAAGAAAAACAACTAATTTTTAACTTAAGCTTTACTCCACCCTGCAATGAGTAGATTAAATATGGTGTCGTTTTTTTTTTCTTTAACGATTGTTTGTGATATCGGATCTAGGAAAGTTCGCCGAAAACAGTTTACTGAAAACATTTTACCGAAAATAGTTCACCGAAAAACAATTTACCGAAAAAATAATTCATTGAAAAACAATTTACCGAAAACCAATTCACCGAAAGAGCAGACCACCTAAAATCCATTTTTCTATGATATAATAATACTCTCCCTAATTCACCCCCTTACGAGTGAATTTTAACCCCAAAAGCTGAGCTTGTGAGAAGAAAGGGACGGCTATTATTATTATTATTATTTGCCGTGGCTCTCCGGGGCGACTAAAAGATGATTGATGGTGCCGTTTGACTTACAGGCGAGGAAACCCCGGAAAACCCCACCTACCATTATTTTTATTTTTTAAAGCCACTTTAAACAAGGACTTCAAGGACTTAAATAAGAATCGTTTTATTATATGTTGTCGGTATTTTAGTCTCCAACAATTCTTGATATATTTTCGACATAAGGTCATTAAAAACTAATCTAAAGATGATTCCAAACATATTTCCTAATTGCATCTCATTAACTTTACATTACAAAGTAGATTATTTGCATTAAGTTGTATTACTAAACGTTTACATCACTAAAAGACGTTTTGATCTCAATTACGTAAGGCATATTAAAATTTAGTTCACAGTTTATAGACAATTTTGGTATAGTGAAGTACGAAATGGCTCTCGAATACATAACAGTGAAAAAGGCAAACGTTTGTTGTTTGATGAAGGTCACTTATTCTATACGAACAATTTTGGTATAGTGAAGTTCGTAATGGCTCTCGTATACATAACAGTGAAAAAGACAAACGTTTGTTGTTTGATAAAGGTCACTTGTTCTATATGAACAATTTTGGTATAGTGAAGTTCGTAATGGCTCTCGTATATATAACAGTGAAAAAGGCAAACATTTGTTGTTTGATGAAGGTCACTTGGTGAAGGTATATTGGAAGTGTCAAAGATACCACAAAGTTAAGTGCGCATTTTAATTCTAGATGTTATTAAAAGAAGTAGAACACATAACCTTCTCGCTGATGCTGCTCATGTACAAAAAATGAATGTGATCACCACCATACGAGACGATGCCAGAAGGACTTGAAATGTACCACATTACATCATATTAAATGCAACTTTTTTAGTCAGCCAGGCAGCAGCAAGTAGGCTTGGGAAGGTAAGCAACAAAAAAATAACAATACGCAATGTACGAATCAAGGATCAGGTTACCCCAGCATTCCCTATTCGACGCAGCGACATTGTTTTGCCCAAAGAATATAAAATAACAAAAAACGGAAAGAGTTTTTAATGTTCGATTTGATAATAACCGGATACTAATGTTTTTTTACGAGGAAAAACCTCTAACTTCTAGCTCAGGCTGACCACTGGTATGATGGTACGTTCAAATCTGTACCGCACCTGTTCTGTCAGCTTTAAACACCACATGAGTTAAAAAATAATTTAGCTATTACTCTAATTTACGTTTTGCTACCGGATAAAACCAGAGTTACCTTCATTCGATTGTTTCACAAAATAAAAGAGCTTTTTACAGGAGTTACACCAGCATCAATTAGATTTTGAAACTGGAATGATAAGTGCTATTACTGAAAAATTCCTTGGGTCCAGACATCGTTGGTGTTTTGTTCATTTTTGACAATGCATAAACCGTAAGATTCAATTCGAAGGCCTTAAACAGAGATACGAAGCAGATTTTGCTCTGAAAATGCGGTTATTAGCCGCAATAGTATTTGTTTCTACAGCAGATATGATTCGTGCATTTGACATGCTTTGTGAAGAAAACATTTTACCTCCATGAGTAAAACCATTATTTTAAAGACACCTGGGTTGGACTTCCATAAAGAGGTCGCTGCCGCCCACCACTTTTTTCGCATGACATGTGGAATTGTGTAGAAGAAGTACGTCTAGACTTGCTACAGAAGGCTGGTATCGAAGATTTGAACAGCAAATTTGTGAACACCCTAATATTTAGAAGTTCATTGAAGCCATATAGAAAGAGCAAAGTCTACACGAACTCCAAGTTGAACAATATGTTACAGAAATGATAGTCCCGCCTGCCTGCAAGAAGTAAAGAGACTGTGCCGAAAGGATATTAAGATTTGTTGGAGACTATAAAAATGTATTTTTCATTTTTCTAAAATCATACAAACAAAATAAAACAAACAACAACAAAAACTTTATTATAAAAATAAAAAGCAAAAAAATAAACAACAAAAAATAAACAACAAAAAAATAAAGAACAAAAAACAAAAACCAAAAACTTCTAAACACGCCAACATTTGCTGCAAGTCCTAATCCTTTATTAAGTGTGAAGGGCAGTTGACTCCAATATCTGTTAAAAGGATTTATATCTGTCAAAAGGACTTTTTCACAAACATACCAAAATAATGTAACATACCTCACAAAAATGGATTTTAGGTGAATTGTTCTTTCGGTGAATTGTTGTTCAGTAAATTGGTTTTCGGCAAATTGGTTATCGGAAAAATGTTTTTCGGTAAATTGTTTTTCGGCAAATTGTTTTTCGATGAACTTTTTTCGGTAAAATGTTTTCAGTAAACTGTTTTCGGTAAACAATTTTCGGTGAATTTTCCGGCACCTGTGATATAATTCTCTATAATTGTTGTTTTATACATGATTTCTCTAAAATGGACCGTAATGAAAACATTTTGAGGAAAAGTAAAAAATTATTATTTTTCAAATTTTCGTTGGCTATGAATATACAGGATGTCCCAAAATTCCGTGTACATAGACCTACTGTATGTTGGTGAGCCAAAATTACCTATATCACAATGTGCTTCGTTTGCCTGTGAGGAAGGTTTTCAATTTTTTGTTAATAACTCACAAACTCTTTGTTTGATTTATATTAAATTTGGTAGCTATTTTAATTGAAGAGCCATTGTTCAAAGCAAAAATTACACCAACTGAAATCATGGAAGCGTAAAAACCACCCTAATCCTGCCATAAATAACATCGTATTTTTATTGAGGGCCACTTCTATTTTCTTATTTTTTTTATGGAGAACTGTATTTACTTGTAGTATTTTTTGTTTCTTGCAAAAAACATAGGATATAGGGTAATATGAAATATGTTTAATTCTTTGGTTTGGTATTAAAGATAGGTATTGAATAAAATTATTGTTTATTAAACATTACATAATTGCTTGCATCTTTAGATCGCTACATTCTTTAAACAACAACCTAGTGTTCTACGTACAAGGACCATACTATAAAGTACAATTTAATATTAAACGACTTACCTGTGAGGACGTTCACCCGTATTTATACCTGCAGTCCGGTCCGCATAAAATAATCCCTTCCATGAAAAGTTGATTAATTTTGATATTTTCACCTAGCCCGAAGGTCGTGATCTCTGGACTCAAACGCCTATTATTCAATAGATGAAGGACGATTCTATTAATTAGTAATTCGACCCTGATTTTGACATGGCAAAATTGTCTTGAAGTTATATTTTGTGTAGTTAACGAAACTGCCAGAAGTAAATATTTTATTATTAACCATCCCATTTTCTGAAGAGTTCTAGAAATGTGCGTGATTTAATGAAGTAAACCACCGTCTCACACATATAACCTTTGATCGAACGTGGTCTAATGAATAATCCGTCAGCTATTGAAGCAGGTAGTAGTGCGTTAAATTTTCGATACCCTAATAAATATAATCCTTTTTTTTTTTCATTATATATTTAATTCTATCACAATTATTTTCATATTTTGTCATATCTAGGTTAATCTAAAGTAAGAGTTAATCGACCACTCTCTTTATTATTGTAAGAAGAAAAGCAATATTTTATTTGTTTATTTTAAATATTATGTTTGAGTAGGTACTGAAGTAAGCAAAAAAGTTCACTTTATAAATGACTTTAGCTGTTGCCCGCGGCTTAGCTCGCGACTTTGCTCGTATGTAGTCGTGTTTTATAAAAAAATACATAACTTCCTTTTTTATTAATTTTTATTAATTTTTATTAATTTTTATTAATTTTTATTAATTTTTATTAATTTTTATTAATTTTTATTAATTTTTATTAATTTTTATTAATTTTTATTAATTTTTATTAATTTTTATTAATTTTTATTAATTTTTATTAATTTTTATTAATTTTTATTAATTTTTATTAATTTTTATTAATTTTTATTAATTTTTATTAATTTTTATTAATTTTTATTAATT